GGACTGAGCTAGAAACATATGGAGCAGCCTTACAAAACGAGGCTGGAAAAGACGGAGGTGGCGAGCAGACACTCACTGAAAGCCCTCAAAGAAGCCACACTACCTGTGGCAGGAGGCTCAAAACATTTGCAGACATGGAGGCTATGCGACATCTGTTTCGCTGGCTCATAACAGTATAAGTCATCGGCACTGTTATGAAAGAATTGAAGGGTAGAGTCAGAACCCTTCTTGCCCCATCGTCTACACTCCACGCCCACCAATACATCAGATCATCTGGTCCTAACAGTGCCATGAAGGCCCTTTAAGATCCTTATTTTAACAAAGACAACTGTAGGCTCAAAAGCGTTAGCCTCAGAGCTGGGCACAGTGGCACAGACCTACAGTCACAGCTGCTGAGGAAGCAAAAGTAGGAATCTCCAGTTCGAAGTCTGCCTCGGCCATACAATGAGACCCTGCTTGAAAAACCAGGAACACAAGCCTTCTAAAACTCACATCCCAAAGCCACACATCATACACACCAGAGCCACGAACACCACACGGTGGAGTTCAACGAACAATGGTGCCTGACCTAGTAGGGCATCGCTCGTATTCCAGCAAGTTCATTCACTTTGTGTTTGATTAAGCTAATTAATGTATTCCAACACAAAGTGGCCCTTTGTGTCTTCATGAAAATATGGTCTTACTATATTTGGTAGGACAGTAACATTTTTATACATGTTTTGCATCTAGCATGTTAAATTTACCTAATCTGGTAATCATAACTTACTAGGAATCTAGAAAAAGCATTACATAGAAAATTAGGTCACTACAAAAACACAGAAATACATTTCAAGCTCTTACTATTAAATTTACAAAGCTTTAAAATACTCATCTAACCATTTCTTTATGTACAATATGAAGCTTTCATGAATAAAAATTTAATAGATATATAAATACTGTGGCTGAAGGCTGTAGCTCAGTGGTATAGCACACACTCAGCATGTGAGAAACCCTGGGTTTAACCCCCAGCTCTGCAAACAAAACAAAAGTGAACTCAACATAGGTTCTACACAGAAATCTCAATTCTGACAACAAGAAAAAAATCACATTTTAATACGCTTCTCTAGATTCAAGTCACTGTTTCTAAAGAGATCATTCCATGTTATTCATGAAAGCCATTTTACAAAGAAACAAACATGCAGGCAGTAATACTGCTGTTGACTTACTCAAAACTCAATTTGGATTCTTCTGTTATACCTTAATACTGTCATCTAGACTATGAACTTTTAAAACACTTTGCATGCTAAAATATTTAGCTTTTTGTGAATGACTTGCAAGCTAAATGATTAAATGAAGCGGCAGTGATGATTAGGTGCATATTAAACTACCTGCATAGTCCGATCTAAACTGTATTGCTGCCACATCTAGTGTCACTGTGGTTCTGAGAGGTGTCTGATACCTACAAGCTATACACCACAAGAAAAGCATCTAAGATTTAAAGACAGAACTTCGGGAGACTTACAGAAGTGAAGCACAGGCTCAGAGTACACTAGAAGGTCTTGGAATTTTAATGAAGTCCTTCTTTGTTTTGATTTGATTTTTAGCCTTTCATTGAAAAGTGCATTACCAATTCAGTAAACAAAAAGCACAACTGGAATACATTTTTAAAATCAGCGGCTCTCAAACTATTTTTTAAACTGTAAAGCATGGTGGGAAAAATACTTCCTCACCGTTTAACCCAAAGCACATCTGTGTGTATACGCTAGCCTGTGAACATACCCACATTTTCTCACATAGGTATCCAGATCTAGAAGCATGTTTATAAAATGACAGTTACTCACAGTATTTTTAAAATAGCACATCAAACTACTCTTGCATGTTCCGCACCATTCGTTTTGGGGCCGTGCTGGCTACACACAAGGGTACATAATTCCAACACAATAAAATGATGAATTTAAGAAATGGGAGTGCTTCTGACTGATTCAATCATCAAACAGTGTATACATGTGCCAAATTATCAGAATGTACCTCATAAACACGTACAAATACGTCCCAAGAGAAACATAGCTAAAGCAAATGCTATCTCCAAGATATTAAACTGATTTCAGAATCAACTATGCTGATCACAGGGAACTCGGTGACTTTGATCCTGCCTCCGACACAACTGTTGGAATTATTTTGAAATAATTCACCTGGTAGCAGGTTAAGATCAAACCTGGTTTTCTTTCGTTTTGGACACTAGAGCAAAGCTATGAACTAACTAGAAACACGAAGCTCTTGGTGTGGCGGCAACAATGTCACTAGCTCTAACGGCGTGACTCACATGGCTCAGGGGCCTGCACTGCCATGTTCTGAGGCCACGTGCCCTGAATTGCTGCTTCCACGGGTGAACCGGGACGCAAGGAGCCACCATCCAAGTCCTAATTCCAAAGGACTTTCGATTCTTCATCAAGAATCTCTTAGAATTGACAGATGCTAACAGTGCATTCTAAAGGGGGTTCATTTTATTTCATTTTTTTAATGACATACTTCCAGGTACAGTATAATAAAACATGAGAGCCTGGGAATCAGATTTTTTTAAACTCTACAAAATAATGCAAATTCATTAGCATCCATCAGTAAGAAAACATTAAATGCTTATTTTTAGATCCTCGGACTAAGGTAACAGAATTATCTCGAAAGTATTTTCTGATTTGAGCCAAGGGTCATGATGTAATTCAATTACAGTTTCACAACAGAAACATATTTTTGTTTGGTAACACTGTTTAATGTTATACGATATATATTTTACCAGGTTATAATATTTCTCATATTAAATTACCTATTATTTCTACAAAAATATCATGTTTTAAATGCTAAAGCTATGGGTCATGAATACAGTTGCTGTTTTCTGATTTGATTAGACTCGGGGAAAAAGGATTCTGTCGCCCTCTTGTGGTAGTTTCAATGTAGTGTTTCCTCCAGGAATTCTCACTGAACTGCTCTAATCATCATTTGCTTTCTGTCAGCATTTCAGTTTCAACCTCTGGAATTTAGTGCTTTTTTTGTTTTATAAGACATTGTCCTGTCACCTTCCAATTACAGAAAGTCCATGTTTTTCTTAAAATTATTTTTGGCATTAAATGCACATGCATAATAACTGTGGCGAGTCCCTGTCATCCTACAAGGGTCTGAAATAAATGGAAATAACAATGGCTACGCTTTATCACATTTTCCTCCCAAAGAAATAGGTCTTGCTATGTCAATGGCCCACGAATATTAGAAGCCAGTAGTAGTCTGAGCATTTTTTAAAGAAATAATACGGCAGTCTAATTGCTTTTAAAGTCTATATCATATGCAATGGCCTATCCTCTTTCTATCACAACACAGACACAGCCAGGCCTCCATGCTGAAGTTTCTATATTGGCAAGTTCGACCAACAATGGATACAGAATATTTGTGGAGAAAAAGAAGTGTGTAGTAATCATCTATAAACTCCTTTTCGCATGACACTTCCTAAATGCTACAGTTTAACCATGTGTACTGATCACTGACATTGTATTAAGCAGTGTAGGTAATCTGCAGGCAGGTTAAAGCAGAAGGGTGCGTGTATACTTTGTGGACTCACTGAGTTTCAAGGGTTGAAAGCATGAGCGTGGATGGAGGACTACTCACTGAATGTGGTCAACTTAATTAGTGGCTACATCATTGACAAAAACAGTGTGCCCATCCCTGGAAACCCACTGCATGTTACCAGCTTCCCAGGCAGGGGTGAGCACTCTAAGCCTCTTTCAAAACCAGTATGGAACAGGGATGGGCCCAATCCAGTGTCAGTCTGTGCATTTGACTCTGGTGCTGCTCCTGGTTAATGGGAAAAGTAGGGAGTACACTAGAGATATAGGGATAGGTAAAGACTCCTGAATAAGATTCTGGCTATTCAGGCCAACAACTGACAAATAGCACTCTATGAAATTAGAAAGCTTTTGTACAATAAAGGAAATGGTCAGTCAAGTAAGAGGGCCCGTACAGAATGAGAAAACTACTTTTACCAGGATATAATAGAGGACTGGTATCTAGAGAAGACAACTCAAAAAACCAAACATGAGACACACTGCATTTGAAATGTTACCACCCACAGCAAACATGTCAATGGGCCTGAGGATACAGGAGATCATCAGATACAAAACTGTAAATAATGCTCAGGTAGTAGAAAGAACTTAGGTAACAACAACATTCAGGAGAAGGGAAAAGACCAACAATGTGTGAAGTTGAACTTGGGCGTGACAACATTTATGTATAGTCTCATCCTTCATTTAACAGAAGATTTTGTGTGTGTGTGTGTGTGTGTGTGTGTGTGTGTGTGTGTGTGTGTGTGTGTACATGTGCTGCTGTGAAGGTCTGAGGTTCCCAGGTGCCATCTATCTGATTTTATGGGACAGGGTCTCTCACTGGCCTGGGACTTGTTAAACAGGGCAGGTAGGCAGACTAGCAGGCGCTGGGATCCTCCTGTTTCAGATTTCCTGATGCTGGGACTACACACACACACACAACTATGCAGGGTTTTTACATGAGTTCTGGCTGATGTGGTAAGGACTTGACTAAGCTACCCCCTCGTTCCTAGCAGAGCTACTTCTGCCATTTAACCATGAACGCTAGTTATGTTGGAGAAACAGTCCGTGGTTTAGACTTTCTGCATTTTATGCATCAGAAGACCAAGGGTCAGAAAGGTTGGTAATTAGTTTTCATCACTGAGCCTGAGGTGTTCTGCGTAAGTATTTAAGTACCCTGTTTCTAGTGTTTTGTCCTCCTTTCCTTCTTTTCTTTATACTCTCCAGATCAAGCAAACGGCAGCTGTATGAGACCCAGAGGATGACAGCGAGGCATTCTGAAGAGCAAAGCAACCACTGACATTCTTTATAGTTCTTCCTAAACCTTAAATAGCCGAGAGTGGTTTTTACTGCCAAAGTCCATCGTACATGCTAGAACACATTTTCATAATGTCACCCAAGAAAAACCAAGAGTGAGGTTTGGTTTTTGAATACCTGCTTGGCCTGGACGCTGCCAGCTTGGTGGCTTGATGGCGCTGGTGGTGGATCCTACAGGCTTGAAAGCAGCAGCGGTCCTGAGGCCGGCCACCCCGGGCCTGCTTGAACCTGGGCTCTCTCGGCCCTCAGACTTGCTCAGAGGTGACGCTGACTGCTGAGAAGGCTCCTCAGAGCTGCTGGAAGGAAGGCAAGGACACAGCTGTGGTGAGGCGGCCACAAACTAATTCAACAACAACTCGTTCTTTTCCAAATCTCTTACCGCTTCGAGGAAAACAAAACACTGATGGATTTTTATTTTTAAACAAGGAAACTCTGGAAGTGAGTAGAACACACATGACAGGACAGTGGGAAGGGGAACACTGGTGGTGGAGAGTGTAAGTGGTGAGACAGAAAAGAGCAGGGAGGAAATCAACAAAAACAGAGTCTACAGAAAAATGCCACAAGGAAGCCCGTTACACTACATGCAAAAATACACATATAATTCTGAAATCATGAAGGACTTCGCCGTGTCAAGAAGAAGGCAACATCTGTTCTGAAAGCTGGGAATTATTTGCAACAAGTCTACAACAAGAAATTGTACTACTGGGAATTCTGTAAGCAATCCTTGCAATGGTGGAGTCCCCTCTATGCCTGTCTTAACACTTCAGAAGAACCAGCATATCAAGACCATTGGTTTCTGCAGTATCCTTGGTAAGTCTATGAAATGGATCAACGTTGCTCATTTTGCTTGTGTCTGCTCCTGACACCTTACCAGTCCCCCCTTTCCACTGCAGTCACCCAGCCATTCAGTAGTACTTAGTCACCTACCATATACCAGATGCTGTAGCAAAGAGACAGTACCTCCTGCCTTGCAGGACATCTAGTGTTCTGAGTTCACAGCAACAAGAAGTCAGCCACTGTGATCTCTCCATCAGTTAATTGCCTACCAGAGACCTTATCTGGGCTGTATCCACTTTGGTTTAGAGGATCATATAGCTTTTATTACCAAACCATTTACTATTTATAATCATACAAGTATCTTGGGAGAGAGTAATAATTTGAGGAGTCCCAAACTATTACATGCATGCTTTGAAATCACACAGTAATATGAAAGTGGTTATTTTTCTAAAGTGTAGTATAATAATTATGATGATGATAATGATAATAATAACAACAACAACAAATAATCTTCCTATTACTATTAAGCTTTTCACTACAGACAGCTTAAATAATTCTATGCACAGAAATTTAATTCCTTCAATAACTGGAATAAACAGCTGGAGGAAGAGATTACCAAAAATTGGACTCTTTATTAATGGCTTCGGTAAAATACATTATACGATGTGCTTCAGTTACATTTCAGATTCACTGCCTATTACATACCAAATGATTGAGGGTACCTACTTCCCGAATGCCTCTTGAACATCAGGTAACTTTTAGCATGATAGATATGTGACTGCCTAGCCATAGGAAGGTCTATTTGTAAAGCCTTGGCTAGCGTGTGCGAATTTGTTTGGGTAAACTATCCCCTACAATGATATAAAACTCTCTGTAAATGATGAGTGGCTCACTGTCTGAAACTGTGTAAGCAATATGGCTTATGCTGACACCTGTTTTCATTTCAAGAGTAGGGGCACAGAGTGCCTAATGTAATATGCCCCTGATAAAACCTTTTGTCCATGTCTAATGGGCTTCTGTAGCAGACACCACTGTGCACATGTGCTATGACCCCACTGCAGGAACAAAGCTTGTTCACACGTGTCCACTGGTAAGGGATTCCTGCCAGCTGGAGTCTTATTACTGTCAGGCTTCATCCCAGGACCCCTTTTTTGCTTATTCATTCATTCGTTCATTCTTTTTTTTTTCTTTTTCTGTAACAAATCTCAGCCATGTGCATAACTACATAGGAATCACATGGGTTCTTAAAGTGAAATATAAAGCCTAGGAGTAGTCACTTGACCTTAAACAATTTTGAGAAATCATAGAATACTTGAATTTTATTGAAATATCATTCCTTATTTTTGTTTACTCAAGTTTAACACTGCCACCATTTTTAAATTATTTCTTATTAGCTTAATGAGAAGTTAAAACCTGTTCGATGTTAAAACATACTATCCAATGAAGATTTTAAGAAGTTTAGTAATTTTTATAATTAAATGGTAAAAATGCACTGATTAGTAGGAATGTAAAACACACATTAAAGGCAACACAAAAATATTAATGGAAGCAGTTCAAAGATTACTGAATAGTGGATAAATGAATATCTTTTAAAAGTTTTAGGGATAGGCCATTATTTTACTTTTAGAAGCCACTGTCTAAACTTTAAATAAGGGAATTAATACTTTGGTGATAAAAATCCATGTAGCTGAAATAGAATACTTGTAAATATCAGTTGTTTAGCCTATTTATGGCATAGAAAGTGAGCTTAACATATAAAAGGCTAATAACCCTATCCAAATACTAAAATAGCTATCTTCAATATATTTACTCATTACAAATAAATTAGCTTTAAAATACTATAAATAGGAACTTTCTAAGATTAAATTACTTATATACATCACAAAATGATGATAATTACAACGCTAAAAACAAGCTAATATCCAAAAGTGAAAACCAGAAATACTAAAATCCAAATCATTGCCATTTAATCATCTGAAGGAATTAAAATTTACTTCTAGGATACCGCCAAACTTATGACAGTAAACTGGATGACAGACTCCACTGGCAAGGCTAATGAGTCTGGTTGTCACAAGCAGCAATCCTGGGTGGCTCAAACTATGAAAAGACCTTGAGTGGTTTTGGCAAACCCTTGCACATCGATGTGGCTGGTTATGTGGCTGTCTGTTGTGTACTACTCATAAATCCAGTCTTTGGCAAGACGGGATAAGCCCAATAAGGAAGCAATCCTAATATGGAAAACCGCTCAAAGCACAAATCTGTGCCCTACAAACTGACAGTCCTGTATCAATGGGAGGCACTCAGGCAGACGATGGAAACGGTAAAGTGGGCATGGCCATTAAGAGAGTGGAAAGCTGAGTCCCACTTCAGCATGTTGGAGCCTGTAAGACACAGCTGTAATCTATGTGCCTAAATGAGCTCCCCAGCTGCTGAGTCACAGAAACTATGGACCTGAACATCCTTATTCTCCGTACTACATTTCCTTCATTCCCCGCCCAGGCTTTGTACAGCAGGTACCCCCTCCCTCTACCTTCTTTTGCAAGCACCCAAATTCTCCATCTAGGTAACAGAAGGAATATTAATATCCTCCTAGCACTGGGCCCTATGGCAAGTGGCTATCCTACAGTATTTTATATTTAACACTCAAGCTTCTAGAAATTCTACTTCTAGAAGTATAGCTACTACAGCTGTAGCCATGCGATAAAAGTCAGGATTCCACTATAGTTCAAATATTGGCACGATTACTCATAACTTCATATCAAACATCGCGTGTGCTGGTAAAATATATCACAAAGGATCAAGAGGTGAGTTGACAGGCAAATAAACAGCATGCGTGTGCTTTAGCATTACACTGAAATTGCAGCTAACTCAAATTGGCTAAGTGGGCTCTGTGGTTTTTCCCATCTGGCCTGTTACCACAGGAATACGTTGTTAGAGGAAGCAAAGGCCGGCATGCCGTGTTCCTTCCCACAATACCTGTTTTTCCTAACATGGGATGAGCCACTTGACTTCTCGGAGGGCTGCAGACAGGAAAAAGCTAGAGGCTTGGGAACATTGCTGATGCAAAGTGCATCCAGAAGGGACTGGGGGCTTTCAGGGCCGGAGAGCCTGGCAAGCATTCAGAGAAGGACGTCAGTGAAAACTCCCGCGATCCGCAGAAGAAAGTGGTTTTTCAGGCAATGATCTGAAATATTTCCTTTAAGAGCGTGAGGGAGGAAGCGAGAAAAGAAGTGCAAAGCCGTGGAAAAAGATGAACAGACATGCCATGAATTCATTGTATTATTTTACGCATTGATATGAAATTGAGGAAGTCTGGCTGGGCGCGGTCGGTCCGTAGCACACACCTTTAATCCCAGTACCTGGGAGGTAGAGCCAGGAGGATCTCTGTGAGTTTGAGGCCATCCCGGTCTACAGAGGGAGTTCCAGGATGGCTAGGACTATGCAGACAGACCTCATCTCAAAAAAAAAAAAAAAAAAAAAGAACAATTGATGAAATTTTTTACTAGTCATGTGAGACTAGCTTCCAAAAGCATTTAGACCCATAGATGTGATAGGAATACTATAGAAGCAAAGCTGACAGACAGAAGGGCTGCTTCTGAAAGCAATTAGGCTTTAGTTCACCAAGACTGCGGGAAGAGATAGCATCCACAGACAGTCATTTCTTCCCGATTCTGCCCCAACTACAGCAAGTGAAAGCTGTAACAGTGAAAGCTGTAATGTCTAAAGTTACAACACATAATAATGGGTGGTAGCTGTGAAGACAGACAGGGGTGCTCATTGAGAACATTCTCCAAGCCCATGATTTACCCACAACTTGGGTGAAAGGCTCACCACACAAGGGGAGCTCATTACAGCTCTCTGCCGGCACCTGGACGGGCCGGGTCTGTTCTCTCTCAGGGAAGTGACCTGTCAGACACGGGAGGCTGCTGGGACCACAGACAGACACTGCGCACACAATTCTACCTGGTTTTTGCAGCGAGAGCAGCAGACACAGTGGCAGCCGCACCACTCACAACTGCAGCACTGTATCTAGCCGGAGGGGAAAAGGCAGAAAAGTTTCCAGAACTTTCCAAAGAACCTTCTACAGTCCTTGTAGAGCTGCTTACACTGATAGGGGAAGAAAGGCAGAGGAGAAGAAAATGAAAGTAAGAAAAGGCAGCAAAATAAACACAAGTTAGCACTCATTCTAGAGAAGTATTAGATATAAAGGTGAGCCATTAGAGGCATGGCAGGTGTTTAGGTGTTAGATAAAACTCACGTCCAAAATTCCAGACATTTAAATTTAATGTGTAAGCCTACCTAAAATGGTCTGCTTTTCACCAAGCACTGTGAAATGTCAGTTATATCTAATGCTATTATAAGACATCGAAATTATATATCACATATTTGAAGAGTTATACATATGTAACTAAGTAGAGAATGAATGTGAAAATAAAGGCTGAGTTTCCATAAGCAGAGATAAGGGAGTTTTCCTAAACAGGCTTTAGATGAGACATGCTGTCTGGGAGCAGACACACACCAAGGACATGACATTTTAATGAGATATGTTTTTAGAAGCAGAACTGCCTACACATTAAGAAGCAGCAAAATTCATTAACATGAACAAGATATAACTTTAAATAATCTAAGTTGAACTGTTCTGGTTGGTAAGAATCTTTGCAAAAATAAACAGTAATTACAAGAATATAAATAACCAAAACATCACCTTCTTTGCAAAGTTCTCCATTCCTATTTTGAGCTGGTTCTGTAAGATTTTTAAATGAGATAAAATTTCATATTCAGAAGAGTCCTTATGCCTTAAACCAATTATTTTTTTCAAACAGCATGGGCAGGAATTTACATTTCAGCAATAGGAATATAGTACTCTCAAAAGCAGTTTTCAAATTTTAATTGAGCTTTTTAAAAAATTAAATAGGATAGTCTAAAAAGCATGGTGTGGGATTTGCCTCTTATCTAGTTCTCTGGCTGTAAGACATTAATAACATCACTATAACTACTTTGTTTTAACCGTTTGTGACAATGGTCATTTCCAACATATTATGAGCCAAATTTAACACACTTTATTAAGAACTCAGCTGTATGAAATAGTAAGGGTGAACCTGAGTCTACTCTCTCCTCTCTCCTCTAAAGAATTTGATAAGCTCCCAACTCCACTAATATAAGCCACTGGAAAGAAAACTGAAGAAACTACAGGAAGTCAGTTGAACATACAACATAGAAACAAAGGATGATGATGTACACATGTGTAAGTATTCCATGAGACAGAACTGCACCGCTAAGTTTTAACAATGTCTATGAATAGTTAGACAAAGAGGAACAGGGCCAGGAGAGGGAAAATGAAGATGCAGAGTGAAGAAGAGTGAGTGCTGAGGTGAAGAACAGTTTCCTGGTGATTTAATGTTTGTTTGGGTTTCTGAATCACTTTGGAAAAAAGCAATGGTGAATAATAAACAGAAACAAGGTATAAAATAGCCAGCTAGAAAGACATCAGCTAACCCATTCTGTAGTTGGGAGAAGAGGAAACTAATGAAGTTCCTCTAATGCAACGGTAAAAGAAATAACACAAAATAATTATCAATGTCTTATAGGTAGTATCTTGCTCCTCTATAGTTTGAGAACATGCCTGGGATGTTTGGAACACTCCTCTCTTCTTTCAGAGGTACGTGATTAAACTTAACAGCAGACTTAGGCAATCACAAAGTGAATAAACAAGACACACATTTCCTCATTCTATATTAGAAGGTAACAACCAAACCAAAGCATACATAGAATAGAAAGGCAGTGGAAAGCAGTGTTTTGGGGCTGAGTATGTTTATACATAATGACATCAGCCTCTTAATCCATGATGGTGCTCTCATTTTCAGTGAGTTTAGTATTTTGGTTCATCACCAGCACTGAAACGGAGATAACTGAGAAGGAAAGAACTCTACCTAGAGTAAGTGGCTGCTACTTTAGAAAGTGTGGCTACTTGACTACGAATGTTTAACACCTGGGGAGCTGCAGGTGGGTGAGGTCCACTCTTAAGTAGGTCTTCCAGAGAATTGTCAAACCTAAGTTTTCAGAAGTGAAAAAGAAAAAAGGCAAAGAAAAGATTAATGAAAAGTTGAGATCATGTTCACCATGTATACCATCATTTAAGTGCCAGTAACTTATGTATGGGAACACTCTAGTTCAGTGGTTTTTAACCTGTGGGTCATGACCTCCTTGGGATTGCATATCAGATATTCTGCATATCAGATATTTACATTATGATCCATAACAGTAGCAAAATTATAGCTATGAAGTATCAATGAAATAATTTTATGGTTGGAGTCACTAATACATGAGGAACTTTGTTAAAGGGTTTCAGCATTAGGAAGGTTGAGAACCACTGCCCTAGTTGGTTTTTATTATCTATCTCTGTGTCTACAAACCAAATCAAATACTGTCCCCAACACCAAATACAGGTTGCTCTGATCCCAAATCATTCAGCATGGCTATAGGCATGTGATAAAAGATTATATACTTAAAGGTAGAAATTCCTATTCACTGACCATGAAGTTTTGAACTACTTAAGAAAACTTAAGCTCCAAGAACTTATTAAGTTGCCCAGCACTACACACAGAGTAAAGGTCAAACGGAATTTGGACTATGTCTGCCCTAACTATTTCCACTGGCATGGGTAATAGAGAGCAAGTAGGAGTAAGTCAAACTTTTTTTTGTGGATCTGAAATCATATGGGTGGTATTCATCTTGATGTAAATAGAGAAAGTAGTTATCCAATTATACAGCTAACAGTTGCAAGAAGCTTGATGATTTTTTATTTAATTAAAAAATTTTATAACACTTGTATACAAGTTATTATATTGATATTCTCAATTCCTACATATCCCTTTTTAACTATTATAGTTTCACATAAATACATATTACAAAGATGGTCTTGGATCAAAGTCATCTGTTATCTGTTTGTATCCCGCCTCAACAAACTCCTTCCCAAATCACTCTCCTACTTTCATGTTTTGTTGTAGATGCATTTTTGCTGTAAAAAAAAATATTTACAGGATGCCAATATTAAAGTTGAAAACAGAAAAATGTTGGTTTCAAAGCAAGCACCAACTCTAACACTGGAAGAAATTAAACAAGAAAAATACAAAATTGCATAAAAGCACAGATATGGAAAAATGGGATGGATCAGATATATTACACTGATTCTTACATGGAAAATATAACATTAAGGTAAAGAACTAGAAAAGGAGTGCTTGTGTTCTCATTTTTCAGTTAGAATTGGTTACCTCTTTACTAAGGTACTGAAAAATTAGAAACAACTTGAGAACGTGCCATATAGAAATGAAGTTTTATGAGAGGTACAGATAAAGATAAATTACAGCACAATGGACAAAAATAGCCACCATTTCCTTTTGTGAGGCTACAAACTAAGAATTGTTTCCATATTTTTCAAAAGGCTTTTGCAAAATTAAGAATATTTTGCAGGGCTTCATACATAAAAAGCATGTGACATCCATATTTTGGCATGTATATGTAAAGTCTCACCATGATAGTATTAAGCTCATTTACTTATGTATGTTATGTAGGTCTGGCTTTTTTATGCCATGTGGAGAATTAAGAAATTATGGCATTCTATATTACCCAAAAACCTCAATGTATTTGTAATCTTGATATTTAATAAGTCAAAACAAAAAAAACCATACATACAAACAAACAAAACTACGCTGCTGAGCTTTGTTCCAGAGAAAGAGAATAGCATGTAGCTATCAGACTGCTCATTTAAACTGCAAACTTTATCACATTGCCTACATCTTCCAGCACTGACTTAAGGATAGCTGCCTGTGCTACCTGTTCTCCAGCATTCTCACCAAGCACTTCCTCTCTCTATCTAGCTTTCCATTTCTTCTTGAAACAGACCAAATTCTACTACTCTGGTTTTTGATAACTTGCTGTATCACACCTCACTGGGTTAGTTTCTAAGCAGCCCTTCAACTCAGTGACATCCTTTGTGATGTCACTGCTACACGTGTTCACAATACTTTGTATTTTTCTGCATGAAATGTGTTGTTATTGTGTTGTATTGCTTGTGCGGCAAATTTGCTTAAAGTCAGACTCCTTCAATAAACAAAAATGCTCCTGAACTGAGAAACCATGATATTTATGCATACAAAATGAACTATAATAAAGTACTTACCAGAAATAATTAAATATTTACCAACCGAATTAATGAAATTTCTTGTTCCCAAATACAGAACTCATGATATGTGTAAGTATTTGTCTTAGAACAGCTGTACCTCTAGTGACATGTCACAATCCAGATAGATAAATAAATGTTATTGCCTAGGGAAAGACACATGATCAAAGAACAGACTAGGATTTGAAAGCCATGTGCATAGAATGTCTTTTATACTGTAACAAGCCCTTCAATTTAAGAGAACTATAAAGAATTTTAGTTATTTACATGCCAACTAACAATAAGAGTTTGTTTTTTTCAACAGTGGGTTGAAGAAGTCTTCTTATGCTTCTGGGAGCTATACTGATGAAATGTTTGAGGATTAGAATTTATATAATTGACACAATACCTTCAAGAGCCAGATTTCTGAGGTTAGGAAAAATTCACTTGGGAAATTTCCCATGTGCATGATTACCTATTATTTAGCCAGTCTCTAAAAATACAAGATTCATGACAGACTTTTAAACTAGTGCACTTAATATGGAGCAGACATCAACATGTATTCTCACCCTTACATTCCCTAGTATTTATTCCTCTTAGGGTTGGAAGTTCTGATTTATAGCATACTTAGAGCAGTCAAACTTTCTGCCTTGTCTGTTGCTTAAATGGGTTTTTGGGTTCCAACAGGGGCCTGGCAGTTTTTTTTCCCAGAAGCATCTGCAGAATCGGGCTTGCAGCCTTTGGCTGCTTTCTGCAGGAAAGCTGAACAGTTATTTGTGAACTGTGTTTTTCTTTGCAACCGTGCCTAAGTGTTTCAATGTGCACCCATGCTAATAATCTATCTAGGCAAATGAGTCCTGACCATCTAGCTTTACCATTCTGCAGGATCAAGGGAGAAGAATACTTTCTGGCCTCCAGCCTGCACAGCTGTCTAGTATCCTTTACCTGTGCTCCCCAGCTCCTTCCTGTCTCAAGCAGCTCACCTGAACTCCTACACAAGGCATTATGTACGTGTCTCCTTTCAAGAGTGCCATCGGTGCCTTTAAAGAAATCCTCTTCAACAACAAACTGCCCTCACCTATTTTCTATGCCCCTTTACAATCAAACTGAAATAACTGTCTACTTAACCACTTGTCACACTGCAGCCCCAATATAATCGTATTCTTGCCGAGATCACTAAGGACTTCTTTATGACTAAACTGGATTAACAATTTTTACTTATCAGGCTGGTTGGTGGTGGTGCACACCTTTAACCCCAGCACTTGGGAGGCAGAGGCAGCTGGATCTCTGTGAGTTCAAGGGCAGCTTAGTCTCAGAGAGTCAGCCAAAACCACTACACAGAGAAACCCTGTCTCTGGGGGAGGGGGGAAAGACAACAAATACAAAAAAAAAATTAAAAACCCTATTTTTATCATGTTTTTATTGTTAAAAACTACAAAACATGAGTGTGCTATCATGATTTTAATGTATATTTCGGTATTGTTAAATAAATAACATTATGAAACAACTCCAAAATATTTTCATTTTGCAAGTCTGCAATGCTAATACATTCTACAATTCTACTTTGTTTACATGAATTTGGCACCGTTGACACCTTACATGGGGGAATCATCTATTTACCTAGTCTCAGTATCTGATGTAACTGACAACTTCTTTTCTTCTCGTTTTCAGTGCCACGACCCATTATTTATTTTACATACTTCAGTATCTCACTGGTTACTCCTACTATTGGAGGTTACTGTTACAGAAATAAAGTTTGGAAAATGACATGCTCTTCGATATCTTCGAGTGGCAATGTAACAGTATCTCTGTCTTAGTGATCAACAGTAGCCTGTGTTGTGGGTTCACTTTTAAGTTATTTTTCTATGTCTCATATCAAAATTAAATTAACTCTTTTCAAAATAACCTCTTAAGACTTTCCCCAAAGTATGTTATTACATTTGATGGCCATACTATCAGAAACCTCGAAGGAAACCTTTTCCATACAAAGCCTCCACCATGACCTCATGTTTTATTACCATGTCCTTATTATTCCACCTTTAAATTGCATCTTGAATCATCCTCCTGCTCCCGATCATAGCCATTATCCTTCCCCTACAGACTAAGCACTTTGATCATTTCTGTAACAATTATCTACTTTCTTACTTCACTCTTACCAAATTCTGCCCTATCTAGTCTTGTCTTGATTTAGTCAAAGTGCCTGAATTTTTTTTTTAAATACTTACTGTAGTAGAAAAAGCAAGAGAAGGAACAAGCAACACTGGCTTTAAGATACTTGTAATTTGAAAATCAAGTTCTTTAAGGAAAGGAAAATTAAGTTGCTAAAATGTCCTTCCCCATCTTTTACTTTTTATTATGCAATGTATTGCTTAACTTCTTTTATAAAATCATACTATCATGACAAACAAATCTCCATAATAAAGGTAAAAGCAGAATAGATAAATACTCTGAAATGTCAGTGTGGTTGAACTATATGAAATTAACTAGAAGCAAAAGAGGTCAAATGAAGACTATCATGGTGAAATTGTCGGTCATCAATGTTTCTAACTAAATTTTCCAGGTTGTGGTTTGTTTATATTAGAAAGACTAAATGAATCGTGTTTGACATTGCATTTTTAAACTGGCAATAACAACACCGTGTTTTACCTCTGTGAAGATAGGAATGGAAAGAAATTAACCTGGGAAGTATCTTAACATAAGGGTTACTGATCTATAAACTTGTCCATGCTCTAAGGCAGTTGGCATGTATTCTGGACTCTATACTCAAGTCACGTCTGCAAATCACAAATACTGATTTTTATTAACAAAAGAGCTTTATAAAAGGCAACAAGTCACAAATGTTTGCCAAAGTCATAAGGCAGTTGTTAAAACTCTACAGAGAACAATTTGTAC